CAATGGTATCTGACAATGGTACCAATGGTATCTGACAATGGTACCAAAGGTAACTGATCATGGTACCAATAGTATCTGACAATGGTACCAATGGTTTATGACAATGGTACCAATAGTATCTGAGCTGCTTCATCACTACTTACCGTCGCTTTTTCTAAACAATGCAGTAGATGGTTGTGTTGTTCTTCTAAATACGATGCATCGTTATCTTTGCCCGGTATTTGCGTTAACTCCAGACCAGCTCCCTGAAACATTTATTTTAAGGTCTGCGGTTAAGTGTTTTAATATTATAAGCTCAACCAAAATTTTACATAGTGTGAAGAGTTACTTGTAACTTAGTTACCATTGTTTATAGCTTACCAGTGGGACATTAGTTTTATCAGGCGGAGAGACCAGCGCTGTTCCTGCCATAGTTTTAGATATAGAAACTCTTGCTTTCTGTTATGAAGAGATAACAAAACGGAAAAATTAGCGCAACATCCTGTATCCAACAGCACTCCAGTTTCAATTTGTTTGTTGCTAAGGGTTAGCCTTAATGTACGATATGCATGTGTTCCAGTGAAAGTTCCGTGCAAATTCAAAGTGTTCGTAAGTTGTGCATTCTTAACTTTACCGTTGATATATTTGTGAATATTTTAACACTGGAATGAAGCTAAGCCCGAGTAAACGAGTTTGTAGCCATGGAGACCAACGGTATTCCACGAAATCTAAAAAGGTCTCTATTTTCTCCATTTCATAAAATCCTGATTTTGGAATCTTTGCATTTTTGCCTCTTGGAATCACGAAAAAATACGATAATTGGAATGGATTTAATGTAATCTAGTACTACCGCTTCATAAACCTCTAGTTATTGATACAACCTGGCCAATGAAAAGATTAACCCCACATTTGGATGTGTACCAAAGTTGGAGCGGCGAGCACGCGTTTTGGAACCACAAAATCCTACCAAATTTACAGGTAGCCCAATAGGAGAAAAAAGGAAAATTTCATGACGATTCTTTGTCAAACTTGGAGGGCGATTGCAATAACCATTGGTAGGCCCCCTGATTGGATTTGAGCTTAAGACTCGAACACGCTGCGCGCAACAACCTTCGTCGCGCAACCACCACAACTTGTAATGTTAGCGTTGCTGTAATGGCGTGATGGTCAGAGCCAATGAAATATATAAAAAAACGTCCCTTTTTCACGAAGGTAGCAATTAATAGCCAGTGGCTAACAAACCTGTGTCCCTCATTCCGTGAACGAATTGGAATTTAGGAGTTGATTTTTGCGCAGGAAGGAAACTCCGGAGAACCCGGAAAACCCTCGAAGAACAGGAGAGAACCAACAAACAACTCTACTCATATACAACACCGAACCCGGCGGGACTCGAACTCGGGTCACATTGATGAGAGGCGAGCGCTCGCGCCGCTATGCCACCCGTATGACTTTTAGTAACGGAACACATTGAGATCTTCGAGTAGTTTTCCTCGATTTATAGTGTTTTTGTAGGAAATGTTTTTCCAAGTAATATCCCTTGAAAATTCCCTTACCCGCAACTATGCGCGCAACAGTTTTCACCCTGTATTTCAACCGTGCATTCAAAGATTGTAAAACCTTTTAGTCCATTAAGATTCTATGAAACAGTCTCAAGCTGCGCGCATATATTAAATTCCTGCAACAGCTATAAAACAAACCTAAGTTATTAATTTACTTACAAAAAGCCCCAAAAATGGCGCAATTTTATTGTACGTTACTGACCTTGTGAGCTTTTCTCTTGTCTGCTCTTTGATTTTGTAAGTAAATTCTACTGAAATTGGATACTATAACAGGTACTGGAAGGGCTATTACCAGCACACCACTCAGGGAACATAAACTGCCTACAATTTTACCAGGGACAGTTGTTGGTACCATATCACCATATCTGAAGGAAAACAACGGTCAAATATATAACTATTTGATAGTAATAATTTATTATATTTATATTGCGCATATTTTTATTAGAGGAGTTTTCATATCACGTGAAAATTCTGAGGAAGGCCTTGCCGTGACCGTGTCGGCACCGTGTTCAAGCAATCTGATTGGCTGACCAAGGATCTCGCGCGCTTTGATTGGTTCAAAAAGATGTCATTTATTTCGTGCCGTGATATTTCGTATTCATACGAAATCCACTTCAGGCCCCAAATCCTCGTGATTTTAAGGACAACATTTTTACCCATTGAATGAGTTCTAGGCATTTGGAATGAAGTATCTAATGTTATCACAGAGTGGGTCTGTTTGTCGTGGTACAACAACAGCTTTAGTTGCTCAAAATAACACCAAACGATTTCATGCCCTTTTTTATTTTGGGCGTAATGTTCCCCAATCCAAACCACTTGAGAATAAGATTCTTTACTGGACTGACATTTACTAATATATCTTCCCAAGTTTTAACAGCAAGTAAAAAAATAATACAAGAATGAAACGTGGTCTGAATTAAAAAAGCATTAGGTCTAAAGAATCCAGGTTAATTTTTAGTTTTTTTGTTGTTTTTTTTCATATCAATGTTTCTCTYTGATGTAACCAATGAATAAGATAATACTCAAGAGAACGTGGTCTGAATTGAGAAAATATTAAGCAATTTTTTGGCGTCGTTGCCCTGCTAAGCTGGCGCCAAGTGTCCTCATGCCTTTATTATCAATGTTAGTGTTACCCCAGGAATTCTGAGGTAAAATGATAACATATTCACAAGGTATCTAGATACATGGCTCCGTTTTTCCATTCTATTTTTTGTTTCATTTCAAATGCACAAATATATAAAATATGGTTTCATAAACTATCATATTAATTTCGATTCAGTTAAATTTGTCTGAATGTTTTTTTAAGTGAAAACTTTTTTAGCTAAATAGGAAATTCATTTTACAGCTCTCTGAATTCCGTTAGAAAATAGTGTAATGCAAATTGAAACACACAGTCATTAGCAAAAAAAAGTTTTACATTTACATTTAAAAAACTCCTATACAAAAAAGACATCTAACCAACCGCTTATAACAATCTGTTAATCAAGAAACAAAAATTACGTTGTCTCAAGCTTCGCAAAGACGTCCGGGCGGACGTAAGAAAGTAATTCAATTACCATTGATGAGTGAAGCGTCTTTAGTTTTGAATACTTGTACATTATGTGACCATTTAGTTATGTCGAAATGGATCTGTGGTCGGTTCAATATTGAGGGGAAATGTTAGAATTTTATGATGAGGGAAGATCCACTTTATACCATCCACTGTTAAAGATACTTCACTAAGTTCTTGAAATATGTTCAAACCTAAGAGCTTTTGGGGTATGAAGACACTTGGTTAAGAATGAGAATATATGAAAAATGTCCCCTCTTCAATATCACAGAAAAATAAAGTGGCATTGATTGTGAAAAAAATATATAATGGAGTTGATTTTTCCAAGTGGGAAACACTGCACTAATCAATAAAAAAGGTCTACAAAATCATTAGATATTTTTTCTGAATTTTTCCCCCAGTAACGATGCTCTACAGCTGGTGATAAATGGAACTCGCGCTAACCTAAATTGTTTCATAAAGTAAACTCCATTGAAACAAGAGCTAATTGGATTCTTTAGGAAAAGATTTCCACATACTAGAAGTAATTGGAAGAGTTGTACATAAGACCAGATTAACAGAGCTTTGCTAATACATAAATAATTATGATATATGCATATATTTATATCATATTTTAAGGACAAAAGTACGTATCATACTGTGAAATACCTTCAAAAACACACTTCCTAATAGATATTTTCCTTTCAGTATTCATGTACTTTAATTTCAAATAAAAATGTTTACTCAAACAGTGAAAAAAATTTTTTTTTTAAAACAAAAATTCAAGTTCCGGTACAAATCAATAAAAATTAACGAAATAACTGCCTGTTTTGTTTGGAAAGATATTCAAGGTATTCCAATGTTGTAGAAATGTTTTCACTGGTAAAGTTATCTTCCTTTCGATGTTGCTTGATCATAATCTTATTCCTCATTGCAACTGATTTTTGTCATATCACAGGTATAAAATTAGGATAGCACAACTTTTTTCCATCATTCGATGAATCTTAAAGTAAAATAAGCTCCTTTTATTCCCCAATACATTCATTATCTTTTATTCGAGTTTGATAAATATTTTCAAATACGAAAACATGCGGAACACGGTTGCTCATAATATCATAACACGATTTTCACCCATAAAGGAATCCTTGAGAAATTTTCGAAAATAAAATCGAATATTTTCCAAAATATTGTCGGAAGAATTCCTGGTTTCCCACACCTATGGATATTTACATCTAATGCCTCTTGGATGAAAAAAGGTTTAAATGAAGTTAAGTAGAGATTAAAACCTGGGAAAGCTTTGAACGGTAAGAGTCGATGAAGACAAGAATACTTTATCCAGTAATCTTTAATACAAGTGACGCTAGCGAAAAGTTTTTCGGCTGAATGCTTGCGCTCGAGAAAGCCAATTAGTCTTATAAGCTTACCATTAGGAGTCTTTCAAGACAAAATAAAAGATAAGAAAATGGAGATAAGATCTAATGCGGTCAGAATGATTTGGTCATACTCAAATCTCGAGATTGTTTAACACGGTAAGGGAAAGAGAAGAAAAGAAGCAATTTCATCTGGAAGGATAATAATAATATTTTCGAATATGTTAATAATATCTTCGAAACCCATGTTTAAAATGACTGGAATTTGGTTTTGATATGCGGAATTTGTAAGCAAAAGTGTTCTATTTTCTTCGCTTCCGTGTTGATATCAGTGGCCAATTACTACATTTTCAGACTGGCGAATGATCTAAAGGTTTTATACTCGTTTCCACTTCTAGTGGTTTTTGTGGGAAGCGACCGCGAATGCTGATATACTCTAGAAGAACACCGACTCAATTCACAGTAGCTAGTAAGACTGTTTTTTGTGACACTTGAGTTTGTGCATGGATGTAGAGGGGTTCGGCCATGTTTTTAATATATACGAGGACAAAAAAAAAAAATCTTTTAAATACCGGTACATGGAATAAATTAATCAATATTCAAATCTCTTTAACCGCGGGGCGTCTGGGAATTTCTAAACCCGTACGAATAAAAAAAAATGATTCGAGCGAACAAGTTCCTTAGATTTGAAGAATGTACTCACTATTATACCAGCTTCCAAAAAAAGATGAAGTTTTTTCTACCTTAAACTTGAGATTTGTACAGTCAAAATAACATGAAAAAATCTTGAATCAGTTGAAATTTTGTACATAGAATTCAAATATTTATAAGTGCTTGTTGGCCATAGGATTTCGACTGTTTTATCCAGCAGTGACGTAGAGAATCGTGGATAGGAAAATATTTTGAAATGTGGCTAAGACGAAAGCAAACTAGAAATAGTTCCTATTATGTCTATACTTCGTGATTTTTACCCCGAGAGATACTTTTTGTCACGTTCCCTGGTGTTTATGGTGTCTTAGTTCCTGTTTTCTAATCAAAAAAAACACTTGCTTTTGAAATAACGGCAAAAAGAACGAGTTTTGAAGCCCAAACGACTTCAAGCCGGGCATTAAAGGAAACCTGTTCAGTGCCAAAGAAAACCATTTATGTGTCAGAATTCTTCGCGGGCATTTTCTTTTTTGCAATTCTTCATCACCATAAGCAGAGAAAAACGCTTGCATACTTCAAGAAATTATTTTTGAACGCATTTTATATATCTAAAGAATTTTTTTTAACTATCGAAATGGCAAAACGATTTTTTTAACCTTTTCTAAATCATGAAAATACAATGCAAAAATACGAGTGTTGTAAGATTAGATTGTTGGCCTTCTTTTTAGTTGCCTGCTTTGCGTCTTTGCATTTTGAAAATCTTCCGCCGTTCGCTGCGGTTACAGCGACGGCGAAATAGAGACTTGGGGGGTCTGAAACCCAAGCCGATCTTTGCATCAGACTATAAACAATCAAACAGAATGCGAATTAAAATTTTACTACAACTCGCTCCTGTAGGAATAAAAGACCTTTACATTCAGGCCTTTTGAACACAAGACTTTGAAATTTTTATATCCATTTTTGGTAATGTGTTTCATGGCGATACCAATTCGTATCCCCGGACACTACCTCATTGAAACATAATTAACTGGAATCTGTATCCGCAAAAAATATCGACAAATCCCCGTAAGAAATCGAAAACACTGAAACTGTTTACAATTTTACGATCTTTTCACGTGTCTTACAACGAAAACAATAATACTCTCATTTTATTTTTTAAAATCATGTTCGAGCTCCAAGATTAGGAGAGCTCGGATTGAAAGGAACGCAGGGATGGATATTTTTCGTTGTTGCGAAACAATACAACTTCAAGAAAATCACTGTTAATAATTGAACACCAGCAATGCAAGTGCCAACCATTCAGCCAATAGAAAGCCTCGAGTTGCAGGGGTTATACTTGGGGTTTGTAGCATTAATACACAAAGGATCAGGCTTTGAAGAGAGTAATAAGACTAAAGTGCATAAGCCCAGGTAAAATGTGAAAAGGAAACACAAAAAACGTGAAAATTATTGGCTTGTAGTACATGAAATTTTGATGTGACGAAGGGCTTCTTTTTAGAACAGCGAACTTGAAAAAAAAAGGTTGCTTGTTGCTAGTATAGTGTCGATTATTTCCTTTGTTAAGATCATCTTTTGAAATGTGTAAAGAAGATTGGATGAAATACCCAGCAGATTATCCCAAACTTTCCAAATCCGCCTTAAAAAGAATACTGAGACCGGATTATCTCGTTCTGTATGCAGTAATCTCAAGCACAAATCACTGTTAACCGGTTTTAAATAAATGAAAGACTCCAAACCATGCCAACTTAGCAAGATAAGATTTTTTTTCAGTGTCTCTACAATCTAAGACTCTCGATAAAGTTCGAACTCAAGTATAAATAATTCCTGAAAGCTGTTATTTTCTTTATTATATTCTAAAAATACAAAACCTCATGTTTTTACAGTAAATTTGTTGCTTTTTTAAGGATAAATTTTAGCATGAACTGATACATGTTCCAGGTTAATTTAGTATTCAATTCACAGTACTTTCGTATGCAAACTACCTCGCTCGTGGAAATTTTCCGCATCACGAGAAAAATAAACCAGAAAAAATATTGATTTATATCTCATGTCTGGCGGGATTATCACTAAAAATGTTTCATTTTTCTAGTATATTTAAAAATAAATTTTTACTCCACCTTAACGAAGATAATTCATTTATTATGAATTTGTATATATGACGAGCTTCTTTTTAAGAAAGATCCAGAACTATGAAAAATGAATAGCTAAGGCTGTCGTGACGACGAAGACGGACTACATGACATTATCTGGCTTCGAGTTTCTCACGCTATCTGTCAGAAAAACGAACCGAAAAGATATATTATCCTAAACTCTTTTGGTTTGTGAATACCGTAAGTTGGTTAGGCAAGTATGAGGCGTAATTAACTCTTGAGAATGAGTACCACGTCTTTTAGCCCTACAGCAGAATATAAACCAAAAACAAGGCGAGAAACAGAAAGAGGGAACGATGGATAGAATAAAGAGACAAACGCATACACACAGAGAGAAAGAGAGAGAGAGAGAAAGAAAGAGAGAGAAAGAGAGAAAGAGAGAAAGAGAGAATGAGTACCACGTCTTTTAGCCCTACAGCAG